ATTTATTTAATTATTTATTTTGCTCTTCGACTGACCTCATGCAATCAACACCTCATTTTCTGTTGTTGCATTATTCATCTATTGTTTGTTCTTCTTCCTCAACTCATAGTTATACATAGTAAAACAGATCACAACAAGAGTTACATATCCTTCCGATGGAGTAGGGTAGTCTATAAGTTCTCAAACTCATTGGGAGAAAATGATAAGGAACATTAGAGACAAATCTTTATGTTAAATCTGATGTCAAAGATAAAAAAATCTGCAACCAACTGATTGAATGCAGTAACGTGGTCATTCATCGATGTGCCATGTCGGTATTTATAATATCACAACGGTCGCTTCTTCATGAGGCACTTATTCTGGCAGCTTTTCTTCAAAGGTGTAGGCATATTTCTCATTATTAAAAATGTACTCATGCTCTCTGGACAAACACTAATGGATTATTTAAAATGCTAAGTGGTTGATATCCTTCTAGTCATTCTCATTAACGTCGCCTGGTTTCTCTTCTTCACCGGTAATTTCGACGTCTTGCTGTAAGAGAATATCCATCATTTTGCCTGGCCACATGCCAAAATGACCGTTCTCATCAAAGATCTCCACTAGGAGTCCGATGTTCGACATCACTATCCTTGCCGAAATAAGTGCAGAAGATAATGTGTCATTGATATTCTTGAAGTCAAATGCAGTGCACCTCTCACCGAAAAAGCGTAGGACGAACATTCGGTTGTGATACCACTTATTCGGTATCACAACAAGCGTAACGGACAAAAATATCCCACAACAAATAATGCGAAGAACTACTGTTAAAGAAAATAAGTCAACACAAGTAAATAAAAAGATGAGAAATAAAAAACACACAAAATGGATAGCGGAGTTCGACCAATATTGCATGCGCCTCTGAGCTCCGTTAACAACGTCAAATATAGTAAACTCACCAATAGGATACAAGTAGATTAAATAATCCACGAAGTAAAATTTACTTAATTAAGAATTTCCTTCAAAGTTGTGATATTCCCCCCGAAATATTAATTCAGAACGCGTTGAACCTACGTGGCTGCTTCTGGTACTTCGGAATCATATGTGGCAAAATTACATGGTTCGTTATTAGGCTTGGGTAAATTTTAATTTAATTCCAAACATAAAATAATTAGGTTCGGATTACCCTAAATATGTTGATTATTTATGGTCATGTTACATGTATTAATTGCATTTTAATATCATTCCTTATTATAACTATTGAATTGTATATATATTTTAAAAGTTAATAACTTTTGTATGTTTTTTTTTTTATCAATTTTACATATATAATATATCAAATTAATCTTCTTTTGATGAGTTTCGATTTAGCATCCATATTGTTG